AATCTATTCGAATAGCCGTGATCTTCGGTAACAGGACGACTTGGAGTTGTACCTTGACCTTATGACAACTAGAACCGGATACTTAATAAAACACACCCTTCCAAGTGCCAGATACAACCGGTGGTCGCTCTCCCTCAGGGATGCGAGGGGAGGATCGCCGGGTAGGATATGCTATGCGATGCTACTTGGAGGACTTCGACCTACCCTCTTCTGCCTGTTGCAAGACGAAGGTGACCAGAAGCGTAGTCTTCGATAAGACTAGCTATCCCCCTCTTATTCTGGCATTCTGCAGTTCAGTCCACTGATATGGCCCTTTACACATATACCCATGCATATGTAGTGTAGTTCCTTGCTTGCGAGTACTTTGGATGAGTACTCACGGTTGCTTTCTTCCCCCCTTTTCCCCTTTCCTTTCTTTCTGGTTGTCGCAACCAGATGCTGGAGTCCAGGAGCCAGACGCCACCGTCGACGACGTCTACTACCCCGGAGGTGCCTACTACTACGTGCAGGCCGCTGACGACGTCCAGGAGTAGTTTAGGAGGATCCCAGGCAGGAGGCCTGCGCCTCTTTCGATCTGTATCCCAGTTTGTGCTAGCCTTCTTAAGGCAAACTTGTTTAACTTATGTCTGTACTCAGATATTGTTGCTTCCGCTGACTCGTCTATGATCGAGCACTTGTATTCGAGCCCTCGAGGCCCCTGGCTTGTATTATGATGCTTGTATGACTTTTTATTTGTAGAGTTGTGTTGTGATATCTTCCCGTGAGTCCCTGATCTTGATCGTACACATTTGCGTGCATGATTAGTGTACGATTGAATCGGGGGCGTCACAGGTCGTATGGCGTGGAAACTGATGTTCCTCGTCCACCTGAACAACTTTGTAAAGGGGACGAGGCTAAATGGATAATAGCACAAGTTGTGGGAGGCGCAGAACAACCAGTCATCATCGTCCTCATCTCCATCAACCCTAGCCACCGTCATTTCCATCTCCATAGCCACCACCTTCATCTCCATCATAGTTCTCTAGCATCTACTCATATCTATAATCGTGTACCACACAGGGCATGTATTGTAAGACATATTATCAAACAATCTATCTTCATGATGTGTTCTTCGTGTGTTTTGCGTGTGATCTCATCTTCATGTGTGAGTAGTTCCGCAAAGTATGGGTCAAGGCAAGAGCCTTCAACCTGATGTATTTGTTGAAGGGATCAAAGGAAGGGCTTTGAATTAACGTCTCGTATGTATAGCATAAAATTGTTTCGTAGTTGTCTCTTATCTCGTCCCCATTCTTCATCTCTGCAGGTACCCAAGGTCATGGAGAACGAGCCACGGAGAGGCTAAGGACAGGGAGACTGTAAAGTGTTATTCTGAACATCAGAGACAAAAAGGTTTAGTATGGTAACATGAATCCTATGTCTGGGGATTCAAGAGGTGTAGTCATTAAATGGCCAATGCTTTGTCCGATTATTGCAGTCTTAATTATTGAGGCAACCCCGCGCGACGGATAGGGTCTTCGGTTTGACAATTGACTCTTGATGCAGGACGTGTGTCGGTCAAGATGCAATTTAGACACATACCCCACTCCAATACGTAGCAAGCACATCTTAATGGGTGACTTTCATAGAAAAAATTAAGATCATAATTGGTCCCGTCACAAATATATGTTTGTAAGCAGAAGACCTCATACTTATGCCTATTTTTATTATAAGTGTTCTTTCTGTGTCAGTTGGTTTACGATCCGGTCAAAGGATAAAATTAATTCTTTAGCAAAACCTTCTTTGAGACCCTAGCTTAAAGGGCATCGTCCTCCCATGGGTTTGATAACTCAAGATCACCTCCGGGAGAAAAGACGAGAATCCTTTCTGGTCCATTTCAGCATTACAGAACGAAGTAATCAGTCTCACCACCCCCGAGAGAAAAACCCTAACCCTGGCGCCAGAAACCAATCGCATCATGTCGCCTCTCCTCGTAAACCCCTCATGGTGGACCCGCAGTGCACTGTCTCAATTAAATCAACCCGTAATAACTCGCTCCTTCCTAAATATAAGTCTTTTTTAGAAATTTTAATATATATTACATACGAATGTATATAGATATATTTTAGAGTGTATATTCACTCATTTGGCTTCGTATGTAGTTCATATTCGAATCCCTAAAAAGACTTATATTTAGTAACTAAGGGAGTACTAGTAGTTATTGTTATTTTAACATAGTAGAGATGCAAACGCTTATACATATGCACATACAACTCATTCATATAAACGCACGCACGCACAACCTACCGCCATGAGCATCTTTACGTCTTCGTCGACTACGGGAACGTCTCCTCCCACTGAACGCACATCGGTAAAAAAGATTAAATTAAATTTAGAAAAATACGAACACTAATGCCAAAGTCTATTACTTGAACTCTGGTAGGCTCGGTATACCATTGCCTTCCTAACTATCCACCCCGTGTTCATTAGGAGTTACTCCTTCCGTTCGGAAATACTTGTCATCAAAATAGACAAAAAAGATGTATCTAGAACTAAAATACATCTAGATACATCTCCTTTTATTCATTTTGATGACAAGTATTTCCGGACGAAGGAGTACTTTTTTTTGAGCTTGCTAGGAGTTACTTGTGTTAATAAAGAGTAAAATAAGATTATGTGTACCTAGTCCTGGCCATCTCAGGCCCGGCCCTGTCGGCCCACCCAGGCCCGGCCCTAAAATCCAAGGCCTAGGCCCGATGGGCTTGTCCGTGGGCCGGGTTTGGGCCTGAGTTTTGAGCCAATCAGCAGAGCCTGGACGGGCTTGAGCTTGGCATATTGGCATTTTAAGGAAGAGGCCCGGCCCACGGCCCTAAGCCCTAAGGGCTTTTTAGGGCTTTTTACGAGATGGGCCGGGCTTGGGCTTGAAAAGTAGGCCCGCTGGTAGGGCCTGGGAGGGCCTAGGCCTCAGTCTTCTGCCATGGGCTTTTTTAGGCCCGGCCCAAGCCCGGCCCGGCCCGGCCCATGGCTAGATATATGTGTACCTAAGACGCGGTTCCAAGGAGAAGCTGATACGGAGGATCGAGGGAGTGAAGACAGATCATAGGCCGGACGTGTTCCCGAAGGGTGCCAAGAACGGTCCAGATTAATCCCGCGGGAGTCGCGTGATCCGAGTGGGTACCGACGCACCGACGACCTCCGCCGTGACGACTGATTCGTGAAGAAGTAAACCGAAAGCGCGTCCATGCCGCCACCGGCATCAGCCATCACCAATTCAACGCCTGGCCGACTACTATATAAATCCATCGTCCGCTACACCGCAAACTCAAACCGGAAGAGAAGAGAGGAGACCTGCTATCGATTGATCGATCCCGCAGTCGAGTCATCGGGGGTTCGCCCGCCACCGCGTTCGACGGCGAGCAAGAACCAGGAAGGAAGGCTTCGATCGATGAAGCGGAACCAAGAAGAAGCGCGCGGCCACCTCCTCGCCGGGACCGCCTCCCGCCACGACGCTGCGGACGCGGAGGCGCCGGCGCCGATCACCAAGGGATGCGCGACGTTCTGGGTGGGCGCGGAGGAGGAGGGCGAGGCGCCGCGGCGGTTCGCGGTGCCGGTGGCGCTGCTCTGCCACCCCCTGATCCTGGAGCTGCTCGGGGAGGCGCGGGACAAGTACGGGTACGCGCACGAAGGCGCCATCGTCGTCCCCTGCGGCATCGAGCGGTTCCAGAAGGCGGTCGACGCGGCGAGGGCCCAAGAACGGCACCGTCACCACCACCATCATCACTTCAGTCTTCCTCACCTTGCCGGGTGCTTTAGGCCCTCGCACGCTGTTGCTTAGGATCGTCAAGCCCGCGGCTTAGCGTCCAGTTTGCGCGTTTTTCTTGGTTTCTTGGTGTGGTGATCAAATTGGTAGGCATCCAACACCAAGAAGAAGCTCAGCACATGTAGCGTAGTTGATCGAGCTGCCCATGAAGAACGCAGATTCTATCTGTGACCGATCCATCATCGACGCAGATTCTATCTGTGATTGATCCGCTGATCTGTACAGATTTTATTGTGTACATGACGAGAATTCCTTGTTGTTGCTTCAGATCGACGCGGTCCGCTTTTCATGTGTTTTCTTGGTTTATTGTTCTGGTGATCGAATTGACAGACACCCATGATCTAGAGAAAGCTTAGGACGTGCTAGCGTCTAGCTGGTCTAATTGCCAGTTTTTTGTGATCGATTGTTGGAGTCAAATCTCGCCAGATATTACTTGGTCAAGCTATTATCCGTCTGAAACTGTTCTATGTGAAAATTGAGAATTGAGATTGTTCGATTACCAAAGGCTTCACCTTGGAATACTGGTCCTATTGGCTGACTCGACGTCCTCGATCATTCTATCAATTGCACCCTAATACAAATTGCTCCCCGGATGACAATCTGATACATTTGGTGACTCAAGTTTTTTAATGGCTCAAATTTGGGGTTATATCCTTCGGCGCATCAGATGGCGCTTGAGAACTCACGAATAGTTGTATGCTTGGAAACGGCACAGCTAGATCAGGCCTGAACCTGATTGCAGCTCACTAGTGTCCTGATTTTGTCCGCCGAGTGAAACTTTTTTGCTTTTTCACATGCTTTGTCAGGCTTGTAGACCGGACTATCTGGTCAACCCATTTAAGATACACATTCCATATCCGAAAGTTCTATTGTCAACTCAATAAAGTTTGCATGAGGTTCACAAAAAAAAGAGGTTTTCGTCCCCTACATTCTGAAAGTATGAGATGGTCTAATTGTCATCGTTCAATTCTAGCTGTTGTGTAGGTTTCACCCACTAACTTCACAAGACAAATCACTCGGGGAAAGGAGAAGGAAAGAATTTAAAACATCTCCAACAGATGATGTAAAATTTGACATCTTAAAAAGGGCTTTAGACAGGGAGAGGGGAGAATTTTCAGCAACAGAAAACATTTTGCTTTTCCAAATGCTCTAAAGCGGTGCCCTAAAATTTGACATTCTTCATCTACTACACAAATTTGAGCATATACAATAAAATAATATCAAACTCATGTCAAATTAAACCGAAACAAATAAAACAGAAATCGTACTTGATTATTACATAGTTCATCTCCACAACATCAAATTCAACATAAATTGTTTATCAAACATAACACAAAGTTCCTCGGAAATGACATGACACGTAGAGGTAGAACTAGTTGTCTTGTTGCCCATTCCACGTCCACCACTCCTTGATATGATCTTTTGAAGATTTTCATGAAAGTCTGCATCTTGAATTTCACGATGAACTTGAAGAAAGCATCAGATATGGTATTCCCTTCTGTAAATAATGATCTGAGGTGCTTTACCAACACACGCATGAGTTACAATTAGGGTACAATACGTATACAACTAGGACTCAATATCCATTGCTTGACGTATACTCCAAGCCGGCTGGGCTACCGCTGTGTCCTTCTCCAACACGCCCCCACCGTGTCCTTCTCCAACAAGCCGGCTGGGCTATCGACGTGAAGACTGGACCTGAATTCTCTGAACACTAGAGTCGGCAGCCCCTTGGTGAAGATATCAGCAAACTGTGATGATGAAGGAACATGGAGGACTCGCACAACACCAAGGGCAACTTTCTCACGGAAAAAATGAATATCCAGCTCTATATGTTTAGTACGACGGTGATGCACTGGGTTGGCGGTCATGTAAACAATGCTGACATTGTCACAATAGACAATAGTGGCTGTATGAATAGGGTGATGGAGTTCCTGCAGTAGTTGTCGAACCCAACAAGTTTCAGCAACACATGTAGCCACAACATGGTATTCTGCTTCAGCACTAGATCGGGACACAGTTGTTTGACGGCGAGAGGACCAGCTGATAAGGTTGTCTCCAAGATACACACAAAACCCGGAAGTAGAACGTCTGGTGTCTGGGCAACCAGCCCAATCGGCATCCGAATAGGCCACTAAGGAATGTGTAGAGGATCGATGAAGAACAAGACTGTGAGCAAGAGTACCTTTAAGGTAATGGAGGACACGTTTGATAAGAGAGAAGTGAGAGTCACAGGGGTCATGCATATGAAGGCAAATCTATTGAACCGCATAGGCGATCTCAGGTCTAGTTAAGGTGACATACTGAAGGGCGCCAGCAAGGCTGCGATATAAGGAAGGGTCAGAAAAAGGAGAGCCTGCAGTGGCAGAAAGCTTGGACTGGGTGTCAATGGGAGTGGAAACAGGATGACAGTCACGCATACTGGCTCGGGAAAGAACATCCAAGATATATTGTTTTTGAGAAAGATGAAGACTAGTGGGTGTGCGGGTGACAGAGATACCAAGGAAATGATGAAGAGGGCCGAGATCCTTCATGGCAAATTCATGACTAAGAGCATTAGTGATGGTGGTAAGGAAGGTGGTAGAGGAGGCTGTGAGGATAATATTATCGACATATAGAAGAAGGTAGGCCATATCTGAACCACGACGAAGAATAAAGAGGGAAGCATCAGACTTAGATTCGACAAAGCCAAGAGAACGTGCATGCGAAGAAAAAACGTTGGAACCAAGCTCGAGGGGCTTGTTTAAGACCATATAGAGATTTAAGGAGACGAAAAACATGAGTAGGTCATTGAGGATCAATGAACCCAGAAGGTTTTTGGCTGTAGACCACCTCATCGAGGTTACCATGAAGGAAAGCGTTTTTGACTTCGAGTTGATGAATAGGCCAGTTGTTAGTGAGGGATAGGGAGAGAACGATACGGATGGTGGCAGGTTTCACAACAGGGCTGAAGGTTTCATCAAAGTCTATGCCAGGTTGTTGTGAGAAACCTCGGACAACCCAACGAGCTTTGTGGCGAGAGAGAGAGAGCCATCAGAATTTAATTTGTGATGGAAAATGCATTTGCCACTAACTATGTTGGTACCAGGAGGGGGCGGGACAAGAGTCCAGGTCTGGTTGAGACTGAGAGCATCAAATTCTTCCTGCATGGCATGGCGCCAATTAGAATCACGAAGAGCGGTAAGATAATTGTGAGGAAGGGGGATGAGGCTATAGCGGAGAGGTTAATTTTGTTGGGACGGCCGGGAAGACGACCGATTATGGACCGAGTTCTGTGTAGAGGGGGAGGTGGTGGTGTTGGATGTGGTTCAGGGGAGGGTGGCGGGCTTGGGTGCTGGTGTTGGTCGGCCGGTTCAGGGGAGGGTGGCGAACTGGGTTGGTGTTCTGGGTCTGCCGGTGCAGGGGAGGTTGCAGGGGAGGGTGGCGGGCTAGCCTGGTGGTGATGATCTGTCGGAGAAGATTGGGATGCATGGTGTAGAGGGGCAGGAAGGACAGGGTCAAACAAGTCAGGTTCAGGGGGTGTAGGTGGAGTTGTAGGAGGGGTCGAGGCATAAGGGAAGGTGTTCTCGTCAAAGATGACATGTCTAGAGATAATAACACGTCGTTTAGTGAGGTCAAGGCATCTATATCCTTTGTGGCGAGGTGGGTAACCAAGGAAGACACATTTGGTGGAGCGATGAGATAGTTTGTTGGGTGAGGTTGCAATGGTGTTGGGGTAGCATAGGCAGCCGAAAACTCGAAGAGTGTCATAGGGAGGAGTGGTGCCATATAGGTTTTCGAAAGGTGTAGAGAATGAGGTGGATGATGTAGGTCGGATGTTGAGAAGAAAAATTGCAGTGGAAAGAGCTTCAGCCCAGAACGATGGTGGCATGGAGGCTTGAAAGAGAAGTGTGCGAATAACATTATTGGTGGTACGGATTGCACGCTCGGCTTTGCCGTTTTGTTGGGAGGTATATGGGCAAGAAAAACGGAGGATGATGCCATGGGTGGAGTAAAAGAGATTAAGTTTGGTGTTGTTAAATTCTCGGCCATTGTCACATTGGATAGAAAGGATACGAAGATTGAACTGAGTTTGAGCATAGGCGTGGAAGGCGAGGAAGGTAGCATGGACATCAGATTTCTTGCGTAAAGGAAAACTCCAAAAGTAATGCATATAATCGTCAACAATAATAAGATAGTAGCAAAAACCCGAAGAACTGGGAATCGGAGATGTCCATAAATCACAGTGTAATGGTTGAAAAGGTTTAATACTAGATGACATCAAACAGTAAAACGGTAATCTAACATGGCAGCCTAATTGACAAGCATGACAAAGTGTTGACGATGATTTATTGGGTGGTATGTGTTGACGTTGCTGAAGGCGGGACATAGTATGATGGCCAGGATGTCCAAGCCGGCGATGCCAAAGGTCGGTGAGGGTGCCGACGAGTACGGCTTGAGCTTGGGTCGGACTGCAGAGTGTGCAGAGGGAGCCGGAGCTATTGCATCAAAGAATCACGGTCTTGGTGAGAAGATCCTTCACAGAAAAACCAAACGGATCAAACTCGATAGAACAAAGGTTACCAATGGTGAATTGTCTAACAGATATAAGGTTTTTGATAATATGAGGAACAACAAGAATATTATGAAGATAAAAGGGTTTAGAGGAGGAGGAGAAAAGGGTGGATGAACCGGTGTGAGTAGTGATGTCTACTATACAACCTTCTTCTTGTAGACGTTGTTGGGCCTCCAAGTGCAGAGATTTGTAGGACAGTAACAAATTTCCCTCAAGTGGATGACCTAAGGTTTATCAATCCGTGGGAGGCGTAGGATGAAGATGGTCTCTCTCAAGCAACCCTGCAACCAAATAACAAAGAGTCTCTTGTGTCCCCAACACACCTAATACAATGGTAAATTGTATAGGTGCACTAGTTCGGTGAAGAGATGGTGATACAAGTGCAATATGGATAGTAGATAATGGTTATTGTAATCTGAAAATATAAAAACAGCAAGGTAGCAAGTGGTAAAAGTGAGCA